TTCTGTGATTCTGTGATTCTGTGATTTACATGAACTATGTACATCTTTTCATAAAACTTGCTTTCAATAATTTTTTGAATACAGGGTTCTCTCTTAATAGCTGTGTTTACTCATATTCACTGTATTCAAGTATCTCACAACTGTTAATGTCCTTTATCTCAAAAATAGCTTTTTGAAATGAAGAGTCTTGCTTTTCATTTTATTGATAGCAGAAATTAACTTCCTCAAATTCGATGGAGCTAACTACGGATCTGATTTCACGTTTCTCTATGATTCCTTCCCATTTCTCATTAAAGAGAATAATTTAAGGACTCACCTTATTTTAAACATGACTAACATGCTCACTCCTGAATAGATAACCTCAAAACAGTGATACATCATCTATCATGACACAGCAGAATTACAGAACTGGGAGATCATTTCGTCAACTTTTGCAAAAGACAGGATCAAAAGTAATCATATTATGACTGAAAGATGCTTGTCTGACCAGTCATTAGGTAATTTGTGGTGGAAGCTCCAGACTTCCAGGGCAAACTGTTGTACTCATTAACAGTTAAAAATGTTTTCTAACCACCAAATTAACTTTGTTGCAGTTTAAGCCTGTTACTTCTGTTCTTAGGCAACCCATATAAAACAAAGAATGTACCAGCCTTACAGACCAGAGGACTGGCTGGCTAGGGAACAACTTTGCTTCCAAGGGCCTGGGTCACACAGTGGACAGCAGCAGAACACAAGCCAGCAGCACACCCTGGCAGCAATGGCCAACAGCATCCCAGGCTGTATAAACAGAAGCTCAGCCAGCAGGCTGAGGGAAGGGATTATCCCTCTCTATTTACTAGTTATTTTAGGCCACATTGGGATACCACACCTCCAGCATAGGAAGGACATCAATAAACAATCATCACAAATTCAGTGGAGGGCCCCAAGCCTCTTGCCCTGTGAAGAGGAACAGGGCTTGTTCAGCATGGAGAAGAGACTGCTTCAGGTGGACCTAACAGCAGTCCCTCAGTGCCCACAGCAAGGTCATCAAGAAGATAGAGCCATGTTCTTCAGTGCTACACAGTACAAGGCAAAGAGACAACAGGCATAAATTTAAACAAGAAAGGTTCTGGCTGGCTATAACTAAACAGCAGGAGGACAGTCAGGCAGTGGAATAGGTTAGTGAAGCTGTGGAGCTTTTGCCCTTGGCAGTTTCATATATGCGACTGCATAAAGCCTTGAGTAACCTGGTCTGACCTCATAGTTTTAAGTCAGAGGTGGGCCTAGAGATCTCCTGAGGTCCTTTCCAATCTGAATTCTTTTAAGACCTACAATTACTGAATTTGAGGATTTGATAAGTTTTCTCTTTTCCTGCCTTTTCATCTCTTTTCCCAATGTAACAACAAAACAACTTGACACCTTTATACTCTTGAAACAGTGAAATCTCTGGGGTAAGTCTTGCTGGGTTTTTGCCCAACTCTTATGGCAACAGAATCCCACACTGTGCGGGTTAGCCAGCACAAAACAATAGCAATCCTACAAATGCTTGATTTCTTTAATTGCAGAAGGAATAGTGTCACAGATCTTTTAAAAAATCCCAACACCCTGCAAACAACATTCAGAAACAGAAGGAGCTAAAACATAAGATCTAGCATAAGTCTCACCTGCATACTAGTGAAGCGATTGTCTGAGCCGTGGAATCCACCTGTGCAGCTTTTAATCTCAAGTGGTTTCCTGTTAAAAATTCACAGTTCATTTAACTCACACTTTACAAGTTTACAGTATAAAATACATTCAATGCTGCATTATTTACTTGTCTATTTAAATATTCTTAGAGGCTTGTCCATAGAGAACAGAAAGTCTTTAAGCTCTGGAAGAGAATGCCTTTAAAATCAGAATTATAATTTTCTCTGCAAATGTTACCCCTTTGGAATTCTGAATTGTCCAGAGACATTTAAAGTCAAATATCGGATGACATCTGAACAAAGTGTTTGCTCTCAGGATAACAGATTTCCACTTCACTGTCTTTTGGGTAACAGAACTTTACAGCAATTTATCCAGAGTACATTAAGATTTTTGTTGTTTTTTTATTAAAACTCTGATGTAATTTAGAGCATTCAGGTGGGCACCTTACAGTATAATAAAAACAAGTTTCCAACGTACACCAGGTCCATACATATTATTTAAACATGTACAGTTCTAGTAACGGAAACCTGATTTGCATGACTTGCACATATTTTTGTGTTATACAACAGGACTTACTGAATACATGGACTGAAAAACTCTTTCATGATGAAAGCCCTGGAATATCACATAAATGTTAAAAATTGTATTACTATAACAGATGCCATTTTTCTGTGAGCTGTAAATTAATTGGTCAGAACATGAATGGTAATCAACAAGAGTGGGGTCAGTAAATTCAATGTATGCCAGTGGATCGCTCAGAGACTGATTCAACTGAGTTATGCACATACTTAGCTTTGATGACTCACTTTGGAAAATCCTAAAGCATAGCAAAAGATGTGCTCAGGTATCAGACAAAGGGGACCTTAGTTTCTAATGTTTGTGTCACAAAGCCTGTCACTATCAGCAGGAAGAGTAGCTATAGCTGCCAGTTTAGAATTGAGCCTCCTCAGGGCAGCAAAAACTGCAGAGAAAAGAACGCAGTTTCTTTGCAACATCCCTTTGCTATGAGAAAACAAGAATACCATGATCCAACAGCTGTCACTGAACTCTAAGCATCTGAAAGAAAAGCTATGAGAAAACAAAAAATTATTTGCTGTCTAATCAAGTACTGAAAACTGTAACTTACCTAGCAAGCTGCCATTGAGAGTCTAAGTAAAAGTGCAATGGTTCAATCCGGTCATTATAGGAATAATGGAAACGCTTGGGCAACAGCTGTTTCATATAAGGTTTGAAAGGCTGGTTTGGCTCTAGGCACTGAAATATTTAAAAATAAAAAGTACATTTCACCAAACTTTTGCTTATGTCATGAGTAGATCTTATAAAGCACTTCAATTGCAAACTTTCTGTAATAACTTCCAGAGGACAGCGGGACTCTATCAAGTTTGGAGTCATATGGTGTGGGACATAAATAGCGATTTAAATAACAAATACTGTTTTTGCATTCGATAATTATTAGAAGAATATTTCTATTGGATTACGGACATAACTTACTCTTTTTTCCCTCCTTACAGCCTATAACTGTACAGAACCAAACAGTACTGCTTAGAATAAGTACAGAATTATACTGAGACATGAATGTCATGATACTTTCAAAAAGTGGTAGGAGACTATCCAGTGCAATAATTTTACAGTTCTGTAATACAGAAAGTAACAAACACTTAAAGGGCTTTTAGGACAAAATAGATTTTTCAACCAAGATCCATTAATGATCTGAAAAAAAAAAAACCACCAAAACAAAAAAACAAACACACCCCCCCCCCCCCCCAAAAAACACAACA